TGTGATTGAAAGCATGGAACACCTCAACAATGTGTGATGAAAGCATGGAGCACCTCAACAATGTGTGATGAAAGCATGGAGCACCTCAACAATGTGATTGAAAGCATGGAACACCTCAACAATGTGTGATGAAAGCATGGGGCACCTCAACAATGTGATTGAAAGCATGGAACACCTCAACAATGTGTGATGAAAGCATGGAGCACATCAACAATGTGTGATGAAAGCATGGGGCACCTCAACAATGTGATTGAAAGCATGGAACACCTCAACAATGTGTGATGAAAGCATGGAACACCTCAACAATGTGTGATGAAAGCATGGAACACCTCAACAATGTGTGATGAAAGCATGGAACACCTCAACAATGTGTGATGAAAGCATGGAACACCTCAACAATGCACATAAATACATATACACAATACAATGCCCCTAGCCTATTCTAAGATGTCATTTTTGATCCTGTTACAAAGTCAGAATATTAAATGTGATTTGAATAGCTTTCTTTCAACAGTTTTATTTTTTTTTGACACTAATAATCTCAAATTATAAAACTCATATGCCAAAGATAATTCAGAAATCGCAAAACAAGGAATTGGGTTTCATTATTTAAATGAAACGACAGAAAAATGATCACTCTTATTAAAAGTAGTCGGTGGTATACGACGCTTTAAAATAACTGCCTTAGTAATTGGAGGTGTCAATTAATTATTAGCATGTTATTTCGTTGGAAACTGCTTTCTTTTGCACCGACAGGCGTGGTAAAGGACTGGGACGCGGGGGCGTTGACCCCCGGAAAACCCTCCAGATAGTCAGAATATAAAAAAATCTTAAAAAAATGTGCTTAATAATATTAAAAAAAATGACTATACCAAAATTTATTTATTTCAACCTCGCTTTTGCACGCAAAAATTTATGGCCACTTCCTGAAATAACTTGAGATAAATCCAAAATATGCAAATGTAATAAACAGTAAATTTCAATGAGACAGCTGTTGTGTCTTGGCCTGAAGAAGATACTGATGTAGTGTAGTGATCTTGAACAAGTGTGGTGATCTTGGACAAGTGTAGTGATCTTGGACAAGTGTAGTAATCTTGGACAAGTGTGGTGATCTTGGACAAGTGTAGTGATCTTGAACAAGTGTGGTGATCTTGGACAAGTGTAGTGATCTTGGACAAGTGTAGTAATCTTGGACAAGTGTGGTGAACTTGTGTGGTGATCCTGGACAAGGGTAGTAATCTTGGGCAAGTGTGGTGATCTTGGACAAGTGTAGTGATCTTGGACAAGTGTAGTGATCTTGGACAAGTGTGGTGAACTTGTGTGGTGATCCTGGACAAGGGTAGTAATCTTGGGCAAGTGTGGTGATCTTGGACAAGTGCAGTGATCTTGGACAAGTGTAGTAAACTTGGACAAGTGTGGTGATCTTGTGTGGTGATCTTGGACAAGGGTAGTAATCTTGGGCAAGTGTGGTGATCTTGTGTGGTGATCTTGGACAAGGGTAGTAATCTTGGGCAAGTGTGGTGATCTTGTGTGGTGATCTTGTGTGGTGATCTTGGACAAGGGTAGTAATCTTGGGCAAGTGTGGTGATCTTGCACAAGTGTAGTGATCTTACAAGTGTAGTGACCTTGGACAAGTGGAGTGAACCTGGATAAGTGTAGTGATCTTGGACAAGTATAGTGATCTTGGACAAGTTTAGTGATCTTAGACAAGTGTAGTGATCTTGCACAAGGCAAGTTGCAGGTCATCACTGACATCCAACTAGTTCACACATTTTTTTTTGTTTTTGACGGCAATTAGCAGTCTCCGTGACCAACTTACACTGAGTGCTTGGCATTTATTTATTTATTTATTAATTTGAACATGATACAGAGAAGTACAAAAGAATACAGTTACATGCAGCATGCCAAAGCCATTTGAATGCATACCATTACTGGCAGGCTTAAAATTAACTTAAGATTAACTAAGCAATGAAGTATTCAGTGGTAAAACATTATTGTAAACAGATAACAATTAAGCACAAATGAGTATTACAAAAACAGGTCGTATGGTTGCTTGCATTGCTCTACAATCAGTATTTATTTATTTATTTATTTATTTATTTTGAACATGATATAGAGAAGTACAAGGAATACAATTTTTAAAGTGCAGTATGCCAAAGCCCCTTGTATGCAGAGCATTATGGGCAGCTTAAAATTAACTTAAGATTAACTAAGAAATGATATATTCAGTGGTACAAAAATTATTGTAAAACAGATAACAATTTAGTACAAATGAGTATTACAAAGACAGGTCATATGGTCATTTACTGTGTTGCTGTGTAATCAGTAGAATGGAGTATTATGTTAGGTAATGCAGTTAAATAGTAACAAAGTTTGATTGGGTCACAGGTTGACGTTTATGATATGCAATAATGAGACATATATGAGATACAATTATTCAGTATTTATTTAGTTGTGGGTGAGTAAGTGATTTTTGAGAAGAGACTTGAATTTATAAACAGGTAGTGTTTCTTTTATATTCACAGGTAATGAATTCCAGATTTTAGGGCCTTTTATGTGCATTGAGTTTTTTGCATAGCGTGTGAGGTTGGTAAGGAGATGTTTGAGGGGAGAGTTTATGTGAGAGTTAAGTTGTTCTATGTATGTAGTAGGTGCAGTAATAAGTATGGATGTTTTGTATTGTAAGTAGGTTTAGAGTTTTGAATATTGGTGGGGTGTGCTGTCTGTAGTGGGAATAACAGGTCATCTAAGCGATTACATCGCTTTGCCTTCACTTTTCCATTTATTTTATATACAAAATAAAGAGCTACTACAAGTTCTGTAAGTTTTCCGATTCGCATTTTTCTTGGTTAACTGTAGTGAAGTCCTTACAGAGCAAAATATTTGGATTCATACAAACTGAAAATCTACACTATCATGAGTGTAGCAACCAGAAAGAAATTGAATGGTAGTTATGGACTGGTGATATATTGTAGTTCCCGAGTTGACGTCAGGAACTTTATGTAAAAGAGTTGAGTAACAGTTGTGGCTCCCCACACAGAGTTGTTTTACAACTTCCGTGGTCCTCAAGATTAAGCATGCGCCCCAACCATTCCACTTCTTCTATTTAGATCTATATTAAACAAAATTTCCATCGGTGTTTGCTACTGTTAAATATTGTATCCGATGAATCAATGAGTCCGATTGCATTAACTAGGCTTGGATCCCTTGCTGTTCCTTCAAAGGCAGTTCAGTATTGTATAGTCAGCTATCATTGTTACAGTTCACGCAATCTTCGTGCTTAAGGCATAAGTAACTTACTAAGAAGATAAGAAACTTTTTAAAAATGTTCCCATTATGTTCCACTATTTAAGGTGCCCCGGTGGCCTGGTGGCTAAAGCTCTCGCTTCACACACGGAGGGCCTGGGTTCGATTCCCGGCGGGGTGGAAACATTTCGATGTGTTTCCTTACACCTGTTGTCATGGTCACCAAGCAGCAAATAAGTACCTGGGTGTTAGTCGACTGGTGTGGGTCGCATCCTGGGGGACAAGATTGAGGACCCTAATGGAAATAAGTTAGACAGTCCTCGATGACACACTACCTTTCCTGAGTTATCCTGAGGGGCTAACCCTCCGGGGTTAAAAATCCAAAGAAAATCTTAACTTAAGTTACTGTTGTACTATTGTTAAGATATCACGAAGATAAGAAGGTATGAACCAGCATAAATAAATAGAATATGAAGAACCAATGGGAGCTAATGAAAATAAAGTTCATTGTTTTGATTATTTGACAGAAGTGGAAATAGAGAGAAGGGAAAATTTATTATACCTGGATGATAGGGAATGATAGGAGATGAAGGACTGAAAAAAAAGGAAAAATAATACAAAGCACAGACATGTAGTGAGGCCTTAGTTAAAAACAACAACAAAAAATAAAAAAAAGTAAAGTTTAAAGAAAAAGGAGTGCAGTGAACAAGGAGCTAAGCAGAAGCGCCAAGAACGACTGTGTAATGAAAAGAATTGAAGCCGGAAAATACTAAAGGTCATAATGGATAGGAAACGACGCACAGCCACGTAAGATGGAGGCCAGAACCAAGGGGCAGAGAGATAATTCAAGAAGAATTACAGGAAGATATGAGAGGTCAGAACTGATATTGAATAGGGAAGGAAAATCCACATGAAGACCTAAGAAGAAGGATCTGGGGGGGGGGGAGACCTCTTCCATGAAAGGCGTTGTTACAAGTTTTAGGGACACAGGTCATTTAATAGTATTACAGGTTTGAGGGAATATTAGTTTAAGAAGGATTCAAGGTTGGAGGAGGAACAGAGTGCATTGGCACGTTGTCTCTTCAGTGGGAGGTTGGAGGGGGAGGTAGAGGGGTTGTTCTGGCAGGTTCCCCAAGCTGCAGCTGGCTTGAGGAGGGTTCTAGGTTCACACTGTCACACAACGTAGTCGACGACGTTCCTAGTGAGGTATTTCTGGGTCTTGGATCTTATCGTCACCACATTTTTGTCTGGGTTCTGGCAGAGTTGCCGAGTGTGTGGCCAGACCAGCATAATGAACTAAATACAAGTATATACGTTGCTAGTATATACTGCAATATTTGTCACTAGTATAACTGTAGTATATTTGTCACTAGTATATATTGTAGTTTATTTGTCACTAGTATTTACTGTAGTATATTTGGACAAAATAGCTTATTACAGTCATGAATAAATTACAGAAAAAACTTGCATTAGCACAAATATCGTTATAAATGCTCGTTCAGTGATTGTGTTGACTATAAGTCACTCTGTATATTATATATTTACCATTTGGTTATCTTGCTTTTAATTTATGAAAAACTACCCAATTAGAAGACTGTCAGTCTGTCTATTGTAAAGTCGTTTATGCGGAACTTTGTGTTTGCTAGCAAATGATTCAGGAAATTGCAAGGAGAATTTAATTTTAGCTTCCGGAGGGTCGTTCCACTGTCAAGGTCACGTTCACCACAACCCTGTGTAGTGGCTTTTCAACCCTGTGCCAGCCCTGGCGATCCTGTGTCAGCCCTTGCGACCCTGTGTCAGCCCTGGTAATCACACGTATTAATAAACCTCTCCCTAGAAGACTTGGCAATAGAGTTGTAAGAGGTGTTGGAACAGTCACTCTTCAGGATCAAACCACTTAAGATCAGGTAATACCCCCACACAGTCAGGTAACACTTCTTCGTGATGATGGTCAATTCATATCTTACCCGAAAAGTCTCTTATGATATGTCGCAACGATACCGGGTGTTTATCTCTGTTAAACTGTGCTCTCCTGTCATTTATCATCACCTCTACTGAGAGTTTCTTGATGCAGGTGAAGAGCTTATGATTGAAGGAACCAAAGTTACCTTTCCATTTCTTAGATAAAACATCATTACCTCCAGTTCTCCAGATTTTCTATACCTCCTACGAGCTTATCGATTCTCTATGAGTATTATATTACGATTACAAAACGGCCATTATTCTGCAGACCCGTGTGGAGGGTTCATGTATCCTCGTAGCCTGGTCTGATGTCAGTCAACGAGAAGGCCTGGCCTCAGGCCGGACTACTACGGTAGAACTCTCAAAATCGGTCACATATATACTGCAGAAAATAAAAATGTATCGGCGTATAAAACAAATTCCAATCACACAATAGAGCGAAAAACTAATGTGAAGGACCTGGGAGTGATAATGTCAAAGGATTTCACGTTCAAAGAACACAATATTCTACCACATTGTGAGGAAAATGATAGGATGGATAACGAGAACTTTTAAAAATAGGGATGACAAGCCCATGATGAGTCTCTTCAAATCGCTTGCTCTCTCTATGTTGGAATACTGCTGCACACTAACGGCCCCTTTCAAAAGCAAGCGAAATCGAAGACCTGGAGGATGTACAGAGAATTTTCACGGCACGTATAAGTACGATAAAGCACCTAAATTACTGGGAACGGTTGAAGTCCCTTGATTTGTACTCCTTAGAACGCAGACGAGAAAGATACATAATAATATACACTTGGAAAATTCTAGAGGGACTAGTCCCAAATTTGCACACGAAAAATCACTCCCTAAGAAAGCAAAAGCTAGGCAGGAGATGCAACATCACCCAAATGAAAAGCAGGAGCGCCACGAGTACGCTAAGAGACAACACAGTAAGTGTCAGGGGCCCAAGATTATTCAACTGCCTCCCAGCATACATAAGGGAGATTACAAATAGACCCCTGACTATCTTCAAGAAGGCGCTGGACAGGCACAGTACCTGATCACCCGGGCTGTGGTTCGTACGTCGGTTTGCGTGCGGCCAACAGTAACATCCTGGTTGATAAGGCTCTGATCCACCACGAGGTCTGGTCACAGACCGGGCCGCGGGGGCGATGATCCCCGAAACCCTCTCCAGGTATATTCCAGGTAGACCGTCACAGGAAATGGTACACTGAAGACCTCGTCAAAATGACATTTATAACAAAAAATCTGTGTTCATTGGTAATGACAGATCAATAAACAGTGAAGACAGCGGTGTCTTAGAATCAAAATACTAACTTCTCATCCATGACACTTAAGAGAAACCTGCCGATAACACGAGATCACAAGTTTAAACAAAGGTTTGCCAAAAGGTATATATCGGCACGGAGGAAGAATAATGATGAAGAATGGTACAAAAGCTGGAATTTATAATGCTAAAATAATGCGGGGAAAGGAAGAGACATATTTATAGAATGTAATACACTAGAAGGAACAGTGTTCAACACAAGTGTTCAATATAGTGTTCAACACAGTGGTACCAGAGGAAGTGTACACAAACAGTGTTCAACACAGTGGTACCAGAAGAAGTGTACAAAAACAGTGTTCAACACAGTGGTACCAGAGGAAGTGTACGCAGTGTTCAACACTGCGTACCAGAAGAAGTGTACAAAAACAGTGTTCAACATAGTGGTACCAGAGGAAGTGTACACAGTGTTCAACACAGTGGTACCAGAGAAAGTGTACAAAAACAGTGTTCAACACAGTGGTACCAGAGGAAGTGTAAACAAACGGAAGCTAGATATCCAGAACAATCACAGAGATGTTAGAAAACACACCTGCAGCTTTACTTAAGAAGTGGAACAGACTAGAGAGCGACACAGAAATAAAAACACTTCACACCTTCAATAGAGAAGATAGTGTTAGATCAAGTCATTAAACAGAAAGTTAAGAGGCAGGTCAACCAACTCAAGCTTTAAAACAGTAAACTCAAATAGATATTTAAGTAAAAACACACACACACACACACACACACACACACACACACACACACAGCATGATAATGCTGTGCAGCATATGGGCGCCTGGCAAACCTGAGAAAAGCGTTCCGATACCTTAATAAGGGATCGTTCAAGACACTGTACACCGTGTACGTCAGGCCCACAGTTACAGAGTTGTCGGGAAGTGAAAGAGTCTGGAGAGTGATGCAGTGGAGGCAGGCACCATACACACTACATAGCTTTAAGAAGAGATTACGAATTTATTAATTTTTTTCACTAAGGTATTTGAGGAGGTAGATCATGATAAAGAATATGATATTGTGTATATGGACTTCAGTAAGGCTTTTGACAGGGTCCCACATCAGAGACTACTGAGGAAAATTAAGGCACATGGAATAGGAGGAGAATTTGTTTCCTGGATAGAGGCATGGTTGACAAATAGGCAGCAGAGAGTTTGCATAAATCAGAGTGGGGAAGCGTCACGAGCGGTGTTCCACAGGGGTCAGTGTTGGGCCCCCTGTTGTTCACAATCTACATAAACGACATTGATGAGGGCATAAAGAGCGACATAAGCAAGTTTGCCGATGACACCAAAATAGGCCGTCGAATTCATTCTGACAAGGACATTAGAGCACTCCAGGAATATTTGAATAGACTGATGCAGTGATCGGAGAAGTGGCAGATGCATTTTAATATAGACAAATGCAAAGTTCTAAATGTTGGACAGGAAAATAACCCTGCCACATATAAACTAAATAATGTAGATCTTAATATTACAGATTGCGAACAAGATTTCGGAGTTCTGGTTAGCAGTAATCTGAAACCAAGACAACAGTGCATACGTATTCGCAATAAAGCTAACAGAATCCTTGGCTTCATATCAAGAAGTATAAATAATAGGAGTCCTCAGGTTGTTCTTCAACTCTTTATATCCTTGGTTAGGCCTCATTTAGATTATGCTGCACAGTTTTGGTCACCGTATTACAGAATGGATATAAATGCTCTGGAAAACATACAAAGGAGGATGATAAAGTTGATCCCATGTATCAGAGATCTTCCCTATGAGGATAGACTGAGGTCCCTGAATCTGCACTCTCTAGAAAGGCCTAGAATCAGGGGGGATATGATTGAGGTGTATAAATGGAACACAGGAATAAATAAAGGGGATGTAAATAACGTGCTGAAAATATCTAGTCTAGACAGGACTCGTAGCAATGGTTTTAAGTTGGAAAAATTCAGATTCAGGAAGGATATAGGAAAGCACTGGTTTGGTAATAGAGTTGTGGATGAGTGGAACAAACTCCCGAGTACAGTTATAGAAGCTAAAACGTTGTATAGTTTTAGAAATAGGTTAGATAAATACATGAGTGGGTATGAGTTGGATCTGATTAGCTTGTGCTACTAGGTCAGTTGCCGTGTTCCTTCCTTAAGTGAATGTGACCTGACCTGACTAGGTTGGGGCACTGGCTTAAGCCGGTAGGAGACTTGGACCTGCCTTGCATGTGCCAGTAGGCCTGTTGCAGTGTTCCTTCTTTCTTGTGTTCTTATAAAGCTCATGGATCAGGGACAGTGGACCTAGTAGCTACCAGTGCAGAGGCGGGGCCAGGAGCTATGAATCGACCCCTGCAACCACAATTAGGCAAGTACACACACACACGCACACACACACACACACACACACACACACACACACACACACACACACACACACACACACACACACACACACACAGATTGAATTAAGAAGAGGAGAAGGATCACGGGGAGGCTGAAGAGACATGAGTCATTGGGGTGTAAGAGAGAATTTCTTCAGTCTCAGGTCAGTTAAAAAAATTAAATAATTTGGATGAGGCAGTGGTGGAGGCAAACTCAATACACAGCTTCAAGGGTAGATATGATAAAGCCCAAGAGGCCAGAACGAAACGCGAAAAATACAAATCGGTGAGTATACACACACACACGTGCCCGGGTTCACGCGACCCCTGCAACCACAATTAGGTGAGTAGGCAGCGAATGCGTGTTTGGCGAATCTTAAGAGTATCTTTCAGGAAGCAAAAGAGCCATTCACCACCCTATATACAACACACGCCAGGCTCATCTGGGAGTATAAAGTAACAACATGGAATTCTTACCAGATTCAATATGTCAAGACACTGGAGAAAATGCAAAGGTTCGCGACAAGACTAGCCTTGGAGCTAAGAGGAATGAACTGTGACGAGAGACTCGGGGTATGACGTTGAAGGGTAGTAGGATCACGGGAAAAAAAACATGATAAAAACCTTGTATAATATTCAGACGAGTTGATAGAATGGACAGGGATGGAGTGTTCTAGGGACAGGAGATGAGTATGATATAAACTATGTTGACAAGTGGTTTAAAAAAAAGTGAACAAACACTAGAACATATTATGGAAATGGGACCACGAAGACAAAAATGTAAGTTAAACACAAACGAGTCACAGGGATGTTAAGACGTATTTCTTTATATTAAGTGGGGTAAGAAAGTGGAATGACTTGCATGAAGTGGAAGAGACAGACTCCATACAGAGCTTTTAGAGTAGGCATGATCAGGCCCACTAGCTTGGAAGGGAGTGAAACTATTTAGAAGCATAGCCAGGAACTAAAAATTGATCCCTGCAACCATGAACGATTGCACACACCCACACGTACTTGTGTGTGTGTGTGTGTGTGCGTGTGTGTGTGTGTGTGTGTGCGTGTGTGTGTGTGTGTGTGGGTGTGTGTGTGTGTGTGTGTGTGTGTGTGTGTGTGTGTGTGTGTGTGTGTGTGTGTGTGTGTGTGTGTGTGTGTTTGTGTGTGTGTGTGTGTGACCTGGCAACACATTCTCTGGCACTACCAGTGATGAACGTGCTGGAGAGAGACTGGTGTAACACCTTGCAATACCACATCCTCACACTCACTGTCCAA